GGTTGGAAACCTTTGACATACAAAAATTTAAACTAGACTTTGTCAAAGATTGCACCCACACTACATTTGACAACAATTTTAAAAGCAAGAAAAAAAAGTGTAAGTCGATATCTCTTACAAGAGAGGAAAGATTAGGTAATATATATATGGGCAGATTTCTATATTCTTATTTAAGTTGGAGAATTCACTTCTCCTTCTGTGGAATTGTTAAGAGGTGTATCAGGTGTGAAAAACAATAAATAAATTAAACCTCAAAGCCAAAGTACTTTTTCCCTGAGAATTTGGCCACTTAGCAATGACTAGAGTTTTAAAAGTTGTGTCTTCATTTCACCTGACCTGAGAAGCATTCTTACTCATCTCCTACTGGATTAGCAAGGTTTACCTGTCTTTAAATTATGCAGTATACTGGTGACTCTTTCACATTTCATCAAGAATAAATGGACACTTTTTTCACTAGCCACAAATCAAAATTATTTAAACTTCCAGAAGCACTAGAAAATTAAATGGCTTCTTTGAGAATGTGCACAGGTCCTATGGTCTGTATTTCCGATTTCTGCACTGCTGTAGTGTTTCTGCCATTAAGATAAATTACACACACACACACACACACACACGTATGTATATGTATTATAGTGTGGTGTGTGTATGTGTACTCAAAAGGCACAGTATGAATTAATATAATGATTTAGCATTTTGATTTTAGGAGAAATATTAAGTTGGCTTTTCTGTGATTGAAATTTAAATCCCTACTCAAGAATTTTGTGAGAAAAATAAACCTTTCATCTTGTCTACATTTCAGCACATACACTATTTAATATTCGCGGAGTGTCTTCTGCATGTCAGGTGCTTTTCTAATTACTTTCTCCTTTGATTCTTTTATTTAGCCCTCACAACTCTTTGAGATAGGCGCTATTATTATTTCCATTTTAACACTAAGGAAACCAAGCATTAGGGAATTAATTACTTGCCAATGGCCACACAGCCGTAAGAGTCAAACCTTCCTTTAAATTCAGTGTATCTGACTTCAGAGCCCATGGTTTTAACTCCGGTGTATGCTTTCATTCTCTTTCAGACTATCTAGTCTCTTGGCATGTCATGTTGTGAGTATTGCTCGACAGCCTCTCAACATCCATTAATAATTGACCGGTACTTAATGTGCAGCTCCTAATTTGCTTATCCATTTTGTGGGTGTTCTTTGGCAAAATATGAAGTTTAGTAGACAATCCCTGTGGAGAGTCAGAAGAAAGTACCCATGAAACAAAGAGTATTAAAAAAAATGAACAGTCCCCCAAGAAAATTCAGAAAAACCAACCAGAATGATTTTCACATTGTACAACGCATTTATTGATTTTTAAAATATATATTGACCAGACTTGAAAAGTCTTCCAGAAGGAAAATTTATTCTGGAAATGAAGAAGCTAAGGAATATTTTTAATTAAATATGTTTCCTTTTCAGTTTGCTTTTATGCAATGAAGATTAAATCCTTTAATTAGATTATGTACGAAAGGAGTTTCTGAACATGCTATGGTGGGGTAAGGAGGTTAAAATGGTCTTGTGTGCCTTTTTATACTTTTATGAAAAGGTCTAAATTAGACTTAAGACAAAGTGCAAACTGAAAACTTTGGGCTTAGCAACTCATGCTTTTAAAAGCAAGTTCTCAAAAAAATGGATGTTGAGGTATTTTTAAATAACATTTTTTCTTAACTGATTTTTCCTGGTACTGATGGCGATAAAGAATATCTTTTATATGGTTTGTAAGTACACTCACTTATGCATCATCTCATTTTATTTTCATTACTACCCTTTGAGAAAAGTCAGTGTGATTGTTCAACTCAATTTACATATCTTATTGAATTGAGGAAACTGTCGATAAAAAAGATTTAACAACTTTCCCAGTGTAATCCAGCTAGTAAGTGGTTGATAACTGGGTTAAATAATATATATTAAATCCCATATATTTTGAACTACACATAATAAAATATCCCTTTGGATTATTTAATCTTAACAAAAATGGAAACAATTGTTCACTATGTTTTTGATTCAAGGATTGTTTGCCTTGCGTTACGAAGTTAACATGGCAGTAATGTGAAATTGTAACCTTTTTAAGATTTTTCTCCTCTTTCCTTTTGCAGTCTTCCCAACAAGAACATTTCTTGGCTTATATGTCCTTTGCTGATATAAATGTGAAGGATTTTAATGATTAAAATAGGAATGATTTTTTTGCAAAAGGAAAGCAATGAAACAGTTCTACATAATCTGTCATGGTCTTGTATTATTGATGAGTCTTCTAGCAGTCCAAGCATAAACCTGTGAAATATCTGTCATTATAAATTACACATAATTCTCCTATGGGCTTAAGTTGCACACACAGGATGCAGCCAGAGTCATTAAGAAATGTATTTTGCAAATATGGCCGTCTTGAGTTGGTACTGAATTTAGTCAAACATGGTGGAAGCTTTTTCATTACAACAGGGACTATAATAAAACAGGACTCATTTGTTTAGTGGTATCTTTTTCATAAAATCAATGAGTTAAGCTTCTACGTGACTTGGTCATTTTAGATCTTGTGTTGCCTTTTTTCTCTAATACTTGACATTTTGAATTTCAGTTCCTCAGTTAAAAACATGGAATTCTGGTCCTGGACCCAGCAGGTGCCTCCGTGTGCTAACTGCCAAGCCTTTCATTGCAGGAGCCTCACTGACTCACACCAAATTTCAGTTCACTGGAATGGTGTGTGTCAATTTTATTACTGTTAACACTTATATCTGAAGCTTGCTTGTGTGTTGTTTTAGGATACATTCTGCCATTTCCTGCCATCTTGTTAGAAGAAATCTTTATGTAGATTTTGGGAGGAACAAAGTATAAGGATTTGGGTTTACTATTGGCCTTAAGATATATTCTCAGTTTGTTAAATAATGAAAATCCTGATGTTACTAAAAAAAAAAAAAAATTCCAGTAAGTTAGAGAATTATTTGCCATTTCTCTAAAAGAACCTCAGCAAGAAATCACTACATCACATGACTGTTCTGGTTGCAGCTTTCTTTTCCATCACCGTTTCTTTTACATACTAGCTTCTCTTGCCAACCCTGCACGACATTCACATCTTGTCCTCTTCACACTTTTGACTATCATGGAGAAATGCTATCTCTCGCTCAGAATTTTTATAATCTAGTTTGTGTTATAGACAAATTTTAGGGGCTATAAATTCTGTGGAGAAATTTATAATTATTTGAGAAATCACTATGTAAAGGGCTTTCTCATCCCTTAAAATACAATCTAGCCGATATTTTATTTGTTTATTTTCCCAGAAATAGACACCTTGATTAACAGTCTCTAACTTTCACTCTGAAAAGGTAACTTGTTATTATTATTATTTTTTAATCCAGCCTCAAGGATAGTCTGTCTGAGGCATCTCTTGAAAGCTAGTAAAGGGAAGGCCTGATTTAAAATCGGTCTCCTAACTTTGACATCAGGCATAAGGTTTCTGGGAATCCCATCTCAAAACTGGAGCACCCAGATAATAGTAACACATTAATTTGTCATCACCCATCAATCTGTTAACCATAATAATTTTACCCGGTCCGGGACTCATTTTTCAATATTCATGGTCTTTTGATGTCATGGGTTAACAGAAAAATTATGGAAACTCCTCTGGTCCACAGAACATTAGAAGTTTTATTAATGTCATGTTGCCTACCCGCCTGATAGGAAAAAGGCTGAGGTGGGCTTCATTCAGCCTTGCACAAGGAGGCACTTGGGACCACAATGTATATCACAAAATTCCTCTCCCAAGCTGATGTTTACAGTACACCTTTCACCCCACTTCCGTTTCCCTAATGCCCTGCAGTCAATGTGACAAGGAACTAGAAGTGTTCTTAGAAGCAAGATGAGGTCTGTCTCTCATATCCAACCTTGGAGAGCTCATGTATCTCTTTTATTTACTCAACATCTTAGAACAAAAACAAAACAAAACCCTCCAATGTGCACTGAAATAATTCCCGAGAACCATGAATCTTATTGACATCTTGGCATCAGGGATTCAACAGGGTCTTCCTTCGTGTGCAGTTCCCATAGATCCGATGGAACACCCATTTATGTACACCAGCTAGAGGAACGAGGAAGATGGAATTTCCAAGGATAAAGGGAAGATAGCCTTTACTAATAGATAAATTAGAGCTATAATAGTATCTAATCATATTAAGGGGGAAAAAATGTTTCCCAAGGATGGCTTCAGTTTAGAACTATAATACTTAGAGAATCTGGGGCATGTCCTTCAATCCTGATTGAAGGGCTTTCAACAAATTACCTTTCAGATAAAGTAGGTGTCTCTTTTGTGTAGAATGCTACATACATACATTTTTACTTACAACTGCAGGATGTGGTAGAGTACCTCATGGATCACACAGTTTTCTGAGAGTAAATGTAATGGTAGGGACTTGAATATAAGCAAGGGACCAGCACTGGTGAGCTGATCGGTACCAGGGAATTCAGAACAAGATGGCAGGATATCCTCAAAAGTAGGAGATTTCACACTGAAAATGACCACTTCATTTACTTAATTTTTTTTTCCAGGACTTCATCAGACATTCTCGAGTCTGGTATGTTTCTCTTGAGAAAATGAGGCACAAACTTGATGTTGATTGCCTGGGCAAAATTATTTCCTTACATGTATCTCTTATTTTTATAGTAAGAGTCCTGAGCAACAAACGAAGCCAAAGGACCCCAGAAAGGAGATAATTCTAGTGTTTGTGTTGTAAAATGCCAAAGGCCCTTTTATGTATGCTTCAGTTATCACTTAATGTGGATCTTTAGGTGATAAAACTTCACCGTAGGACATGAAGGAAAATATGTGAATAGTCATTCTCATTGTACCTTTTAAAAGGTTTCTTTAATTTTATCACAAAAGATCACAGTTTACATTTTCAGGTAATGTTCCTGTGCCTTTCTGCAATGAAGATGGAGAGCATTTTATGAACTTCATATCTTCTTGTTTCAGTAGGGTCTTCATGGTTGTTACTATGTCTCCACAGCCAAAGCAAAGCAGACATTTAAGGTAATTACTTATTAGATAATTAAGGGGAAACCTCTCCACTTTGCTTTCACTGCGGAGTCTTGACCTCTAGGCAAATGAGGGAAGTTGGGCAACAAAAAAGTGAATAATTTACCTTAGTTTTTCTTTTCATTTCTTTCCTCTTTTTCTTTTTTTAGTCAGGTATTTAAATGATTCTCCTTTGGTTTTCTCACTGCACTTTGTAAAAATGGCAATCTGGGGCTTATCGTCAGTGGGGGGCAAGCAGTAACCAAGTATTTTTGTCTTTTCTGAGTACAATTCCTATGCTCTGGAGCAGTCCTTTGTTGAGCTCATTACTAAAATTGTTCAAAAGTATAAATCTCAATTCAGCTTCTGTATGCAATATTATCTTGGGTTTTGCTTTAAATTATTTAAGATAATATGCTTGTGGAATACATATGAAGCACCCTATAATTTCCAAATATTTCCTTTCTACTCCCATTGCACAAATTGCCCTTTGTGGTTTATCACTTACGAAATCTGACAGACCCCTGCCAGACCTCTGCTGCTGACTCCTTACTTACTGATGTATCAGCAGTCCTGTGCCTAACACGTGTCATTTATTACTTTGGTACAATCAGGTTAAAGAAAATAGAAATGGAATATGACTTGAATTTGCAACCCTGAGATTGCTAGTGTGCACAGAAGGGTTGGTTCATTTTTAGTTTTTAAATATTAATAATTCTGATCTAAAAAGAGCAGCTTACTTGAATAAGGTTACCTGTTTCACATAAACACAAAATAATCATTAGAAAAGCTCCATTTTGTAAGTTTTTTAAGTAGGATAAACATATCTTTAAACTACATTATGAGATTTAGATTTCTAAAACAAGTATTGTTAATTGCATTTCTTTATGCATAATTTATCCTTCATGTATTCAACAAATACATGAGTGTGTGAAATGTGCAAAGAACTATTAGAATTCTTGAGGAGACAGTTCCTGAATAAACTCGGTTTCTTTGTAAAGATCATGCATAACAATGTAAATAATTGGTCATATACTGCTAATGATTCTGACAATGAAATTTAATTAGTTATAGACATTAATAATTGATAAGAAGGACAAAGAGGTTAATTCCTGAAAAGTTCACTTCTAAAATCTTCTCAATAAACCTGAAAATGTGCTATAAAACTAGAGTGCCTGATCGGGGTGGGGGCAGAAACTCCAGACATGATTTTACTTGGACCTGCTGCAAGACATTGCATAAAGTAATAGTAGCTTATGAAGCAAGTTACTATAACATGAAGGTGAACCTTAAGTCTGCTGACCTGGCTATGACAGCCTTTCCCCTCATTTATCCCCAAGGTTGATTGAACCACACTTGCTGGCTGGATGTGAAGTCTGCCCTTCCCTCTTCAGATGTCACTTGGTTAAAAGAGAAGATGTTGCCAGATGGGTTTTCTTTGTTTGAGAATATAAGTGTCCCTATTCCTTTCACTCCTTAAATTGCCACACCTCTCCTTTCTTCTCTTGAAAGTCATTTTCTTTCTTTTTCTTAAGTGTCTTTTATGAGGGCACAGATTGAATGAGAAAGTCAGGAATGTATTTGTGTGATAACCCTAGTCACAATTCTTTGTATTTTAGGGTGAGTCACTAAAGAAAATCTTTGAAGTTCCTATGATCTCAGGAGGCATCCTGGATTTCATAGGGAAGATTTAATGGAGCTGACATGCTAGTTCTTTTTTAGGGATAGGGGCAGTTTAAACCCCTCTTTGGAAAGGCTAAAACCAGGAGAGTTCTCTTTTCTCCTTTTTTCCCCAGAGAAGTTTAGTTAAAGAAAGAGGATACTTTACCGAGTGTTCCGAGTGGCATGCCCCATCCTGGTTCCTTGTTCTTCTACTTAAATGCAGACACAAAATGACAACTTGGCATTGTCCCAATTGAAGTGAAATGCACAAAAATCAAGGTCAAGACTTGCTTCCTAGAGACATTTCTCAGAGCCTCTGTAATGCCCAAAGAGCATCTTGGGGCTGAGCTTTATCACTGGGCACTTTTCTGGCCTTGGAACAATCAGAAGGCCTTCAGTGGGTGCAGCCCTGTTTAGGGTCCATCTGTCCTTTCACCTTTGAACCTAGACAGTGGCAAGCAGGGTTTAGAAGACTTTATCATATCTTGGACCCAAGGGCCGAAATACCTGGAGATCAGCAGAGGCCAAGCCCCTAATTATTTGTCCAAAGGCTGCAGTCTGCTGCGCGTGGTTCCAATTTGCCGCACAGCACTCCCTGCAGGGAGCTCTGCCTTCTGACCCTTGAAGACTCCTGGGAACTTGCCATGGTGTCTTCAGTCCTGTCTCCTTTTCTGTTTTCCCCTTCCTCATTTCATGCACCTTCCCCCAGGTGGGACTTACGTTATCGTCATCTTCCCCCCGTCCCTTCTGATGTGCAGTGCCACCCCTCAGTCTTGGTCCCTCATGTGCAGACCACCTTCGGATCTTGGCAGGTCTGTACAGGGCTGGAATCGGCCCTTGTCCTGGGACTTGATGGGTGTGAACTGTTGTTCTCTGTGTAGCAAGATTACTTTTTCTGTCTGCCCTCAGTGGCACTTCTGAGATCAATTTGTTTCACTTCCAAAATGCCACTTTGGACTCCCTTCCCACAGTAGGTTATGGAAAGGTGGCAAGCACTTTAGCCATTTAGATTACAGCTGTATCCACATAACCAGAGGCTACTGAGGGAGGTGCTGACGTACTTAAAATGCCTCCACCCAGGACTTGCTGCTCAAGACATTTCTGGTTAAATATGTAAAAGCGTGTTGTTGTTTTACATGTATTATCAATGATCTCCAAACCTATTTATTCTGTTACAAGTATTTCTCCAGAATAACCCAGTGCTTTCTCACATTACGAGGTGTTGGAGCTACCGTAAGTGGCTTATCTTCTACCATGTTTTCTCTCTGATTTCCTTCAAGTGAGAGGCTTTCAAAACAAGACATGTCTTTGATGAAAACAGATTTAGTATAATTTTTAAACAGAAAATTTGTACCATGTTTTAAAACAACAATCCTCGATTTTTTCAATAGCAAAGCACTTGAAGATTTACCTAAGAGACACGTATTTGAGTTGCTTGGGAGAATACTTAAAGCAGTACTTGTGGTACATTGACTTTAAAAATTTATGTTAGGGGAGACATCAGACTTTCCTTTAGAACTCTACCTTCCATTCCTCTTTCATGTGATACATTTCTTAGATTTGGAGTTGAAATTCCCAGTAGTATTGCCTGTCACAGGAATTTTGTTTCTTAGTCTGGACTTCTGGAATCAAGAAAGGCTATTAGGAGTAAGAAGTTTGAGATGAGACTCGGACAGTAAAGAGAAAGGAAAATGTTCCAACCAGAATCAGAAAGGAAACAGCACGCACAAAGGCTCAGAGGTGCTAGAGAGAAGGGAAAGGCGGACAGACCTAGGAAAGGATGAAAGGGAGACAAAGATAGAATGAGACTTTCTCAAAACTCCTAGATGCAGAGCCTTCGGGGTGGAGGGCGAGAGTGGGGGAGGGCGGCGTGGGTCTTCAGGGAGGGGGACCTGAGGCGGTCAGGCACAGAGGCAAGTCACAGAGAGCCACCCATATCATGAGAGCTCTGGCATTCTCCCGAAGCCAGTATGTTGATGCCAAAGAATTTTTAGAAGGGCAAGTATATGAGTAAATTATATTTTAAACCACTTAGGCTGTAGTGCAGAGGATTCATGGGAAGGGTGTAAGATTGGGTGAGTACCGTCCTTCCATGTTGGCTTGGGGAGCGGGTAGGTCATGGCATTGGCAGCTCAGTCTGGAAACCTGCCTGACAAAAATTCCAGGTATGATATGTATCATGACCTACTGGGTGAGGCTCCCTGTCTTGGGGTGTAGGTTATTTAGAATTGAAACACTGTTGAATTCATCTTTTCCCCTTAAACAGAGTATCTGAAAAGCAACATGTTTTTGGCTTGTTCTGACACATCCGCTGGGTTTTAGAGGGTCGGAATTTTCACTTTTTAATAAGGAGTTCTCTTGGTGAGAATTTTACCATGGAATAAAATTGTAAGCTACTCAAATAAACTAAAAGAGAATGACAGGCAATAGTGTCTTTATATTTTACAACTGTGGTAAGTTAAAAAACAAACAAACAAAACAAAACCCAACCCTCTGGATAATATCAGTTGACAAGAGTCAAAGAAATTAAGAAAAAGGCACAAGCTGGTACTACTATCAACACGTTTTTAGGAATTTGTTACTCTGAGCTCTTATTCTCCAGATGTTACCCAGATTTGCAGTTTCAAATCTGCCCGGTGATTTAGGACATGTTTCTTTTACCATAGCAGGGTTATAAAAAATACAGTGCTCTAAATAGGCCCAGCAGTGAGACCAAGGCATTTTCTATGAAAACTGTTCATTGGTCCAAGAATCCTCCCCAGAGTATTCTTTGGCCATTTACAAATTTCTTTACATGTGTTCATTACATATATACCCAGAAAGCAGTGATTCCAGATGTATGGCTGAGTTCAGAGCTTTGGGTACATGTCAATGCAATTTACCCTTCTCCTGTTAAGCCTATGAGCAGCAGATATTAAACGCCTACTACGTGCCAGGCACTGGTATCATGGTTAGAGCAGTAATCAAAATAGTCTCTTTTCATATTTTGGGAGTGAGGAGACAGACAATAAACACGCAGATCAAGAGTCAGATAGCCCGGGGCCAGGCAGAAATGTTTGAGGCTTTGTACGCCATCCAGTTCCTGCCATGACTACTCAACTCTCTTGTTTTAGAACAAGAGCAGCCATAGGCAATACGTGATGAATGGCGGTGTTCTGATAAAACTATTTACAAAAAGAGGATAGAGCAGGATTTGTCTTCTGGGCCATATCTTGCTGATTCCTGACCTAGATCAATAAACACATAAGCTCTTTTCACGTACCGATAAGGAGGGCAGACCAGGATGTGGTGGCGGGGAGGTACTGGATGTGACTCTGGCAGGAGACCTCTTTGTGAGTGAATTCAATCAGTGT